TCTGAATAGTAAGTGAGCCCCCTCTCCCCATCAACCCTTCACTCTTTCCTATCTGTGACATGCGCATAGTAATTTGAAATAGTTTAACTTTTAAAAGAACTTGCATCCGATACACTCTATACAATCTCTATGGAATTTTTTAAACTTAAAAGTATTTCTTTACGAATATTTTACGCGAGTAATGCCTTCTTGTTGTTTATTTTTTTTCAATTAAAGTACTAATCGTGCATTTAATGGGAAAGGAATAACTCATGATTTAGCGGCAAGGAAGACAACAATTTTTTTTCGAAGTATTCAGACCCCGTAGGGATTATAAAAGCAAACGTAGACGCGACAAGTAATAAGCACAAATCCTAGTGCAGTCAAAATCCCGGACGTGCGTTTACATTTTGCTGACTGAAAGCGCATCTTAGATAAAACTGATTTCGATAAATGCTGCAAGCAACTCAGCTGTTCCATTTAACTGATCAAAGGCCTGACTTTAAACCTACAGTTGCAAATCTCTTGAGCGCTTTGGCGCTTAATTGTTTTCATTGTGAAACACAGAGAAGTTTATTTTCGCCATTGCTAACGGTTGTGCCACTATGGCATAATGTGCCAACCGCCCATGCAGACGGATCCAGCCAAGAGGTTTAATTTCAGATTATATTTCGGATTTAATCTTTGATTCTAGATCCCTTCCAGACTGCGTTCTTTAGTGCTCAGTAGAAAGTAATCTTTGAGTAGTGGAAACTATTTCGAGGGTATTAATTAGCGCTTTGCTTTCACGTTGTATTCATTCGTTTTTGCCACAACTGTTGTTGTGTCTCCCTTCATAGATAATTTAATGTTTTCATGGCCATACAAGAGCTTTTGACCTTTCATCGAACCGTGTATTTAATGTGTTTAGTTGAAAGCAACTCCAATTACTTGAGAGAGACAACAAGAGCAAAATTCTGTTATCTTCTTTTTCTCCCTTTATTCGCCCTTGTAAGTTTAATATTGATCATTCATAAAATAGGAGAGGAATGGCAGTTAACTTCTCAGAGATACACAAAGATAGGCTGTGATTACAGAACAGTGTTTTTTTCATTAGTTTCAAAGTTTTCTGTTGCTGGCTTAAAGTCTTACCTTTAACTGAAAAAATACGTATGATTCGCATTTGTGGGGAGTAGCTATATATCAGTATTTTTTTTTTTATCGTAGGTAATAAATTGTTTTCCTTAAGACTGCAATGGTTTATTTTACCCGAGAAGAAAAAAAAAAACCCTGTGTAGTTTTTGAAGATATTTTTTCTTTTCCGCAGCAAGTATGTGAAATATTTTAGCTTTTGCACTCTTAGGACTTAATATGTCATGCAAATTTCATGCATATGCTCGAGCCTTTGTTCTGTTGAGCTGCTTGGCTTGTGATAATGTCTGGTGTGAGAGAAATCTCAACTCAATGCATGCTCCACCTACAATATTAATACACTTATTTCGACCTAGTGCCGCAAACTACTAAACTGTTCCATTTTAACTGATGTTTTGAAAGCCTTATCTTATCTAACGCTTGGAAAATATCTGGAACGTCTTGGCGATTTATTTCCCCAATTGGAAAATGTTAAGGTTGCACAGCAGAACTATTATATGCTAAGACCTTGTACCCCAAGGGTGAGTCAACCTCCCATGTGCACTTAAAGGTAGCTACCCTTATTTGAATGCCCTGGTATTTTTAATCAGAGATTCTAACTACTCGAAAACAATGAAAGCGCTGGTTTCACTTTCCCCAATCTCTCATTTCCCTGACGGCTGATCGTGTTTAAAAAGACTTTGAAAACCATGCAAGGCTTTTACCCAGTAGAGTATAAACCTGCTGTAAAACATTTCTATTTAACGTTCCGTAGTTAAATAGCTATTGACTCCCAAGATATCTGTTTGATTACCATGAAAAAGCGTTATAATTATTCACTTGTTCACTCGCGCGGCAACAAAGTTAAAAAAATTCCGTTGACCAATGGAGGGCCGATCGTAAAACCTTTTAAAAGTCGTTGATCGATTGACGGCCGATCGTGTTTAAAAAAAGAACTCGAAATCAATCCATGGCCTACAATTAGAAGACGAGTGCAACAAGCGAATAATAAAAAAACGTTTCTTCAGGATTAATCAAGCAAATATATTGGGAGTCAAGGCTATTTAACAACGCAAATGTTAAAATAAATACATAGGGCTTCTTTGAAATGTTCAGCGATAATCCACTTCAAGAGATGTCATGATTAATTTATGGCATACCTTCATTTCTTTGAAAGATACAACTAAAGGGAAAACTGAACTATTTCCATAATCCTTCTTCTTTGCAAACATAAGCTATCATTCAGGTTTTATCATGCAGGAGTATATTCTCAGCAAAATCAGTAGGGGATTGAGATGATTTATATCTTACAGTCTTCTCAAAACTTCCCTGAATTTTGTTATCTTTTACGCAGTCCTCTCTCTTGGTATAGCTTTCCAAACACTCGGTCATCACTGCAGACAACAACAACTACTCCAACTACGCGACCAGGGTCTTATATTTATTTACAAAGCTTTTCCAGAACATACTAGAAGCTTACAACATAACTTTTTTAGTCTGATCCTATTACATCATACAGTACTGTGCAAAAGTAATGCAAAGAATAAGTTTCAACTATTAAGTCACAGCTATTATTGTCCGCAATTTCATTTTTGTTCTTGACCGAAATTTAACCCTTCCGTCAATGCATGTTTGGGGCTTGCGTTGTTGATAACCGCACCTTAACTGATATGATGTCAAGATGCAGCCCATCGTGAAAGGTATTCCAGCGAAATTTCCTTCTTTTATTGCTTGCAAATAGAGTACTCCTCTATCACCTGCAGGGTATGTTGCGCGACAGCATCAGAAATATTAATTAATACAACTCCTAACAAAACGGTTATTTACAGGTCTAGATCGGTCTGTTTGAAAAA